GAACCGGGAAATATTCACATTTGATCAGTTACATTTTAAGAGCCCATCCAAGCCGAACTAAGTTGATTGTTTTGTTAGAAAATCAACCCACACTCACCTGCTTCGAGGAGTTCGCCGCTACAGCTACTGCGGCAGTGGCCAATGTATTGAGACTGTTGAATGCCTCATTCGAGGAGGATGAAGAGGATAAGGGTGGAGAGAGAGAAGAAGGCACACTGGAGCCACTGGCTGCATTAAGTAGATCCCCACTTGTAACTACCAGACGATTTAGGCCCGTGTTGGATAAACTGGAATCCAGAGAGAACGTTTGTCCATGGTTCGAAGGCGTAATCAACAAAGCCGAGGAAGGTAACACAATAGTGTTGGGCATTACGTTGGAAACCGACTTCGCCACGTTCAATACAGGGGGCACAGTAATCACAGATGGAACCGTGGCTTTTGACATGCCTAAAGACATGACAATTGGCGCGGTTTGATTAGCCAGCATATTTGACTCGGCGGAAGATGAGGGAATTAAAGGAGATCCACATAGCTGTGAGGCTGTCGCCAGGAAACTGAGCTTATCCGGCGATGAAACAAGTGACTCACGTTGTTGCAGCCGTTTCAGTGTTTGCTGAAGATTTTCGATGCTCGTTGGGGTCAGTTTCTGCAGGAACTGTAGCCAATCCTCTTCATTCAGATGAATCGAACTATTCAGGGTAGTAAGTGGATCCGTATTCTCGGCTGCGCCGCTCATGGTGCGGTTGACAGTATTCCAGTCGGTGATCAAGAAAGCATTTTGGTTATGTTTGTTCAAACTTTGCGTGATCTATTAACCTCACTTACATGAGTTCTCTCGGGAGAACATGCCGTCTGGATGAATTTCGCATAGGGAAAGCAACCGGCCAGTAAACAGAGTTACACAGTGGCGTTCAGGCCCACTTGGGCGGCTGTACAAAACCTTCCATACCTATTCTCAGTCAGCGAATGTCGGTTCCGTTTTCAACCAATAGAAGCAGCCTACTGTAACGGCCAATAGAAGATCAGCATGATTGGCTTGACCAAGTGCACGCGCGCCACTCTGTCACGTATTCTGTGACTATGCGTGGGCTCTTACGTAATGCTGTTCGTCATTGGACGTGTCTGGCTCACTACCACCGGCATTGCCGATGTACGGTTTACCGATTGCTGATTGGTCCAAGCGAGCAATGAAAACGTCAATGCGTGTGTGTTTGGGCCGGATGTGCGTCAAGGTCACTTTTGACAGAACACTACTGGGTCAGCGTGAATCGGCGGGCTCTATGTGTAGCGAGGTGTGGCGCGCTGACTCCATGCCGACGTTAGTGCGCGTACGCCTCGTGTACGCACGGATGCGTTTGTCGCTCCGTGATCGTCAGAAAAAAGCCTGCGGGCAGTTTTCACAAACTGGCGAAGTCGAAGCTGTCGGCGCACACGCGAGTGCGGAAAGAGGGGACACGGAGGGAGAGGGGGAGACAAGGCATATGACGTACTAAGGGTCGACGGTTGTTATCGCCTTGCGTAAGTAACATATTTGTTCCAGAAATAGGTTTATCGACTTTTAGCCTGCATGTATGTATTCACTTAATATTATTGGAATATTTCTGTTATTCATGGTAAACTTTGCGGCATTATTAGGAAATAGTTTCTGTATAGGGTAACCTCAAAATACTTAAAAAAGGAACCAGTATTTTAGGCATTACACATTTGACAAATTACACATTTGGTAAATGTCTAGGACAGTGGCATTCGGAGCTGACCGCCAACATGTGGAATTATCTTGTATGCTTTTTAGTTAACGTTGGTTCTGAAGTAACACAAAATGTGTTCATAGTCGATTTTAAATCGACATGGAAGGTCCGTTATGCTTGATGATTTTTGGGAAACGCCTGCATACCGCTGCAGAATATGCTAAGTTGACCCATTGGACTTTGCAGCATAAAACAGCCTAGAACATTGAAGTCACAGGAAGGTTACGCACACCGATATTGGACCGAGAACTGCGGGATACTTATCGAGGTTTCTGACAGAAGCCTCAGTAAATTTGAGCCATTCACTTCGATTCGTTGCAGCACATACGGTTAATCTAATCCGCATGTAACTTGTGAAATCTCGGTGCAAACGGTGCAGAAGCTGAGCATCATGTTTGCATTCTGGAATCCTGTTTAAGCGGACTACCTCCCATAAATCTCAACTTTATTTTGTTTTAATATATGATCTCCTATCAGGCCAATGCCTCACACAGTGTTACGTTCAAACGCTATCCCCGTACACCTGATTTTATCCCCATACACATACATCCGTTAGCGTTGAGCGATGTCTGCGCAACAGTGCTCACAGATAAATCGATCTTGCCCATACTGTAATAATAATAATAATAATAATAGTAGTGGTAGTATATACACTTGTGTATGCCTGAATTCACAGTGCCTTTATACTGGAAAATATCCGTTGATTGCACCAAGAAGTCAATTTGGCAAACAAGCTCGTTTTTGATGCCTCATTTACTAGCCAAGTACAGCACTATTTTATAGGTCACAAAATCACAATCCAAGGAAAAAGAAAAATCCTAAATAATGCCTGTGTTTGTGTGCGTGTGTATGGATACTATGGATAATACAGTAAGGGGTGTATGAGAGTTCAAATCATTCTGCAAATGTCATTTGTACTGTCAAATGAATCAAATACATAAACGATTTGTCACTCATTTGATAACTGGCTTTATGTCACTCTGGTGATTGATGTAGTAATGGAGCCGCTTTGTTGCGTCAACTCATCGTTTTCAAACCCCGACTGCAGTTTGTTCTGCGGCCGAGGAAAAACCCCATGATCCGTATCTGCTGGCCAGGTTGCGTTTTGCACAAAGAACTTGAAAATTTAGCTGAGTACACTAATAAACAGTGGAAACTTATGTATTCAACTTATAAACTCCACAAGCATGTTAAAATCTGGTCGATCCGGAGAGGAAAATAAGATTGAGAATAATTGCGATCGCTTTATTTGTGATGGTTGACAAAGTGCACTCACTGGACAGCTGTTTCGTCCTGTCATAACAAATCTTTCGATCGCAATTCAATGCATTCAACTAGTGGGGAACTGACAAGCTCTCAAGGAGTGAAACACACACCCTAGACCATCAAGAGTGCCTGGTGCCCCTGAACAGTCAAATGGGTTAATCTAAACTTGATGCTTTAAAACTGGGAGTGAATTTTACAATAGGACTCAAAGACTAGTGGTGGTTGTATGACCTTCATGTGCATTTAATGCTCTTTGATTGATCAGGTGAAGACATGCATCTTCGGTGCGTGTTTTTGGTTGATCTGGGACTCCTTGTGATTTCAGATGGAGGAGGGGGGGGGTGTCTCGATTTGGAGGTTCAATTGTTTTCTTTTCCTGTATACTTGGATACACTGTCGTCTACGAGCCATGTAACAATTGTTTCATTCTATTTATTGTTCGAGTTTCTTGCAGAGTTGTTTGTGATTGAAAGCAATTCGTGCTTTAGTATTGGTAACCGCGTCTGATATATCGTTTTCAGTTTCCTTTTTACCAAACCAACAGTCTCGCGATTTCTTGAGATAGGTTTGATTACTACCTTTTTGCTTTCCACTTATTTGCTCGAGCAGTTAGTCCTTCAACCTGGAAGTCTAAAGTGACCCATATAAGTGAGTCTGTTGGGCAGCAGTTTCACACCCTTGAGCCAAATCTCAATTTGACGACCCTCAACCTTCCACCTAACTCTCAAAAGTATCACACGCCGAGAAAACCTATCCAAAAAGAGCTGCGAAACCTACGTCCCAAGCAACTCAACCCATCGGGGTCGAGCGGTTGCTTCATTGCATGGTCGATATCAGTGAAAGCTCACCGGTGTCTCAGTGGTGCTAATTATTCGACAATCACTATTTTCAAAAAACCTAGTTTTAGATTTTATTGATTACATGACGAAAAAGACTGATTGAAATGTGGACTGAATAACTGGAAAGCACTGTACAACTACTACTTAACTTGAAAAGGGCCTCACAAATACAACAACATGCAAAACATACCGTGAAAATTGGAAACTTTTAACCTGTCCGTAAAAGTCTGCAGCGTACTAAAAAATTCCGATCCATCGCGCTAATTGTTTGTGTCCCACGTGCAAAGTGGTACTAAAATGAAGGGTTTGTCACGCAGTCGAAAACTACCGCATGGATCATTGTTCTCTGAATCACACACATTTATCGATCTGGTTTCTCTCTCTCTGTGCTTTCTGATTGACATACCGCAATGTTCCAATGAAGACAAAACTGAGCGGCGCCTGTCACCCTCCTCGTCGGTGGTGGTCGGGATCTGATTAATACAGCCCGCTGGTACCTCGACCTTATGGATTAACCACGTTCCTTTTACATACCAGTTTTCACCTACCACAAACAGTCGCGTTATTAACGCGACGCAGTCTCACCAGCACGAGAGATCTCGCGGTGATCGGCACGCTTCCCTGGTATCTGGGTCAACCATGCATACCTTTTCATACATACATAGATGAGAGTTTGGTATCAGACGTGAACTTGGTTGTTATGGTTGTCGATGCTGTTTTTCGTTTGGCCCAAAATTTCTCTCCAGGTATCATCACTATGATAACATCGTATTTTTTTTAGTGATAATCACCTGGCGGTAAAGACAACACGTCCGGTACCGAACGACGTGAGTGGGGATTAAAAATCAAGTTGAACAGAACGAAGCGTCTCATCTAAGACAGATTGATGAAGTTTTCATGAAACATTGTGAATCAGTGATCGAACTGTGGCCCAACGAACTGTTGGTCTCTTGCATAGCTATAACATTAAATACATCAATTCACTCAAGGATATCTCTTGTTCATTTGTGAACGTTGCGAGAATAACCCACCAACCGCTTCCACATGCATGCATCACACATGGGACCGATTAATGTACGTAGTACCTCATCACATATGTTGTGGTGGACAATATCTGCCCCAACACTGTCTAAGGCAAAGCGCACGTTTGAAGAACACACACAGACGCATATTTATAAATTAGTATGTAGCCTTTTGATAAACGTAGACAAATGTAACGAAGATACATAGTTTGTGATTTTCAGTTCCCTCATTTGTTTACGATATCCGATTAAGGCGAACCGCCCGATTTAGGAAACCGAATTCGACGGGGGCGGAGTGGTGGTGTTAATCGTGATTTTTGTCAATCGACCGTGACGACAGGGCATGAAATGTGATTGCATGCTCAATCACACCCAGTTCGGCGACCTTCCCAAAATGAGAATAAAGTTCAACTGGAAAAAAATAAATGCATATAATCAAGTGAGTGACCAACAATTGGTTTTTTTAAATACACATCTAAGTGTGTTGAACAGCAGACGAGGCGAACCCCATATGCACGATGAAAACCTGCAATCTAAGCCCCGGGAATTGGGGTGGTGAACCACATAGGGCCCCGATAGGTTAGGCGTGGTATTAAACCGGACGACAGCACAGCTGCCTAACACTGAAGTCGGGTGACAATGGCGGGGCTCGAATCTCGTACCACAGGGTCCAAAGCACGCCCGTGATGGCGACTAAATCATTGCGCTATAACCGCCCTGGTTGTTAAATAAACAATATACTTGGTGTTCATTTGATCAAAACCTTGACAGTTCGATTGCAGCCTTTTTCTTCGCAGGCGACGGGGTATTTTATAACATTGCAAATATCATCTCTACTGGTGACGATCTAACCGGTCAGGC